GGAGGAGTAGTAGTTGGAGGAGTAGTAGTTGGAGGAGTAGTAGTTGGAGGAGTAGTAGTTGGAGGAGTAGTAGTTGGAGGAGTAGTAGTTGGAGGAGTAGTAGTTGGAGGAGTAGTAGTTGGAGGAGTAGTAGTTGGAAGAGTAGTAGTTGGAGGAGTAGTAGTTGGAGGAGTAGTAGTTGGAGGAGTAGTAGTTGGAGGAGTAGTAGTTGGAGGAGTAGTAGTTGGAGGAGTAGTAGTTGGAGGAGTAGTAGTTGGAGGAGTAGTAGTTGTAGGAGTAGTAGCTGGAGGAGTAGTAGCTGGAGGAGTAGTAGTTGGAGGAGTAGTAGTTGGAGGAGTAGTAGTTGGAGGAGTAGTAGTTGGAGGAGTAGTAGTTGGAGGAGGAGTAGTTGGAGGAGTAGTAGTTGGAGGAGTAGTAGTTGGAGGAGTAGTAGTTGGAGGAGTAGTAGTTGGAGGAGTAGTAGTTGGAAGAGTAGTAGTTGGAGGAGTAGTAGTAGTTGGCGGAGTAGTAGTTGGAGGAGTAGTAGTTGGAGGAGTAGTAGTTGGAGGAGTAGTAGTTGGAGGAGTAGTAGTTGGAGGAGTAGTAGTTGGAGGAGTAGTAGTAGTTGGCGGAGTAGTAGTTGGAGGAGTAGTAGTTGGAGGAGTAGTAGTTGGAGGAGGATTAGTTGGCGGAGTAGTAGTTGGAGGAGTAGTAGTTGGAGGAGTAGTAGTTGGAGGAGTAGTAGTTGGAGGAGTAGTAGTTGGCGGAGTAGTAGTTGGAGGAGTAGTAGTTGGAGGAGTAGTAGTTGGAGGAGGAGTAGTTGGAGGAGTAGTAGTTGGAGGAGTAGTAGTTGGAGGAGGAGTAGTTGGAGGAGTAGTAGTTGGAGGAGTAGTAGTTGGCGGAGTAGTAGTTGGAAGAGTAGTAGTTGGAGGAGTAGTAGTTGGCGGAGTAGTAGTTGGAGGAGGAGTAGTTGGAGGAGTAGTAGTTGGAGGAGTAGTAGTTGGAGGAGTAGTAGTTGGAGGAGTAGTAGTTGGAGGAGTAGTAGTTGGAGGAGAAGTAGTTGGAGGAGGAGTAGTTGGAGGAGTAGTAGTTGGAGGAGTAGTAGTTGGAGGAGTAGTAGTTGGAGGAGTAGTAGTAGTTGGCGGAGTAGTAGTTGGAGGAGTAGTAGTTGGAGGAGTAGTAGTTGGAGGAGTAGTAGTAGTTGGCGGAGTAGTAGTTGGAGGAGTAGTAGTTGGAGGAGTAGTAGTTGGAGGAGTAGTAGTTGGAGGAGTAGTAGTTGGAGGAGGAGTAGTTGGCGGAGTAGTAGTTGGAGGAGTCCTAACTCTCCTCACGTCCGTAAATGGAGTTTTCTTTGTATCATATAAGTATGTACTATAATATACAATACATAAGCTAATCAATGAAATAATTCATTATGTAAACCAAGTAACGAACTATCTAAACTAGAATATTAAACGGAGTTAACATCCATGGTATTCTCACTAGAGAACAGGATAAAAAGCGGGATTGGAGCGAAACCTGCTGTCAATAGAGCAGTTTTCCTTTTAGTTGAAGTTTATCCAGATCAAATTACATGATCATTTCAATTTTTAATGAATCTACCTTTAAATTTCCTCAATTCATCATCGTATGGGCCAATTTAGGCACTATAATTCCTGTTGCACTCGGACAACTGAACCTAATCTTGACTTTTCGTAGACAAGGTAGCTTGGGAAACCCAATCAGTCTACCCAGTTAACTTTGAAACGGCAACTGAACCCAATCGTCAATATCAATCTAGAGATAATTTTACAACCGGAGAAATCGTGACAATTAAACAGGTTTTCAAATGTAGCTCTAGTTTAGCTGTTCCCTGGTTTCTACTGCTATAATTTCGGAGACAAAACAGAGACAATATTTCAGTAATTTATATTTGAATTGGTAATTGTAATATATGATAAATTAATAATCATTACTTAAAATATCTCAGGATAGTGTCCAAAGCACTATAAAGAGAGTTCATAAGCACCTGCTTTGATTTATTCATTGAAATTGAAGTTTTAAAATCTCAAATTTGAAACACATGTTCCTGAGATCAACATTTTGCTCCTTACTCTTTTTTTTGACGTCAACTGTAGACAATTTCGTGAATTGCACTCATTAAATTGTTAACCTTGTATCTCAGCTTTCGAGTGGAAGATCAAAACATACAATATATACTTTTAGTTACATATTATTTAGGACAATACCTTGCAGAACACGTCATGTGCCAGGTTACAAGGTCTCAAGTTTTAAATTGTAAAACAAGATTAGTTTATCAACTCTTGTCTCTTATTCGTCATTTTCACTGTCAGTGTAATAATTAGGAAATGGAAAGTTTGGATCGCTAAAGTTGCTGTAATCAAGGAGCTTGAAATCCCATTTATAAATTTCATAAAACTTGTCTACCAGTTCCTTATCCAATGTAGAAAATAGTTCCCTTGCTTTTACTACTGATGTCTGTAATCTTGGATCACTTTGTCTGTCATAAGATCCTGGCAAAGGAATTTCTATTCCCACTTTCTTGAAGAACTCAGTGGACATTTGTTCCGCAAACTCCATCGGTAAAATATAGTCATATCGGACTTTGTCCACCACTAAAAACCTGTGTTGAGGAATGAAATGTGGATCTGTCAGGATTTTCTCGTTTCCTTTTACTGTATACCTTACATACTCCTCGAACGTTGGAGTTACTATCCCGGTTTCTATTAAATGCACTAGTTTGTTAAGAGAGATGTGAGTGACATCCCGCTCGGATTGTAGGATCGCCAACTGAAGTTTTGGCAAAGTGTTTCCTTGTGTTTTCTCGCTGGATAATTTCTGTCTGTATCCAGAAACAGCTCTAACCCAAGGGTTTCTCAATGCCACAATACTGGTCGCTGTGTTGATCTTCTCGTCGTATTTTCCTTTCCATATTATAGCAAAATTAGGAAGTCTGTAAGGAAATGAAAGTTCACTGTGTACATCAGGCAGATACTCAAGTCGACTTTGTAGTACGCCCTCTGCTTGTAGGAAGAGTTCTTTCCAGTGCGAACACCCTGTTTTAGGTATTCCCGTGAAAATTATGTTAATATTGGGGAAATAATACGTTTGATTGACTGAGGTATGAATCCAGTCAGATGGCGGCTGGTAGGTACTGTACAGTTCATCATAGAATCGGTTTAACTGTTCTTTTAACCACTCTTGAGATGGGATCTCGTAATCAATCATGGATGAAACTGCTCTTAAATTGAGCTCGAACTTTGTCTTTATGATTTCCAGATAAAGTATCGAAAAAAAAGAACAAAAAGCAATCGAAATAAAAATAGATTTGTAAAATTTTGACGAGACCATCAATAAACGTGAACGTTAACGAGAATATAAGAGTAATCTGTAATTATACACAATGTCTATACTGGCTAATATTGTCCAATCCACCGTACCATCTTCAAATGATGTGCCCATGTGTTTTTGTTCATAAGTATTGAATTTCGGTCGTTAATTTTTATAGTTATTGACCGAACCGCAAGCGAAAGGAGTATTTACGGTACACAACCACTTAGATTAGTTACATTATAATACAACTGCAGTTGTGTTAGTAGCAGAACCGTTATTGCACTATTCACACTCTGACATCTATACTTTATAGTGTTCTGTTTTACAAATGTAACGTACAATACTTTTACTCTCTGGGGCACCACAACTATTACACCTCATCACTCGCGTGTTTTACTATATTCCTACCCATTCTTCCATTTCTATATTAATTACCTTTTGATGATAGTTGGTAACGAAGTGAGAGTTTCCACTCAGTGTTATAACACTGAGTGGAAACTCTCACTTCGTCACCAACTATCATCAAAATATATGATCGACCCACTCATAAGAGCGAAGAAAGATTACCAATTAATTGGTAATTAACACTTATTATATTCGCTATATCTTTCACGACATTAAAACACGTGATGTTACCTCATGTTCTCCTTTTCTTTACTTGTTTTATTATTTAATTAATAAATCAATTAATTATCTAATCCAAAGGTTGTTGTATAAAAAGTTGTTCTCTTTTATATTTTGAACACATTGGTTCAATCTAGAACCTTCTACAACATTCAGAAGTCGTTTTATTAGCGGAGATTCAATGTGGTAAAAAGTGATAAATAGTGGTTATTCTTTACGAGTTTCGAAAATTTTACAAGTCCAAAATATTGAAGGTGAAAAATTTTATAAAAATTAGTTCATTATACGTGGAATGTAATTGTGAAAATTTTTTATGAAAATATATTTTTGAAATATTTGAAAATTTATTAATTATTTAATTAATTAATTAAACAATTTATTTTTGAAAAAGTTGTTGAAGAAAAAGTTGTTCTTCTTTGTTTTTTTAAAAACACAATGCTTTAAACTAGAATCTTCTAGGATATTCAGAACGTGACTTATTTGCAGAAAACCAAAGTGGTAAAAAAGGTGGTAAAAAAGTGGTAATTGTGGATTTTCCTGAAGTCGAGGATTTTGGGAGCTCTCTGGAATGATTCCTTGGACCTGTCCCGATCATATCCCGTTAAAATCGCTTTGTTGCGAATTTTGTCCGACAAAGGCTTAAATTAGGACGGATTTGACTGTACTAGTTTAAACTTCCTCACCTGTGACCTGTCTACGCAGAGTCACTAAATATAGGAAAATTGAGACCTTAAGAGCTTAAGGGGGTGAACCCCCACCCCCTTAAGGTCTTCCGTAAGGGCTGCGATCACCTTCAGATTGCAATTTGGTGGAAAGGAAAATAAGACGGTAAATCGGGTTTTTGATGTTAGAGTCCCAGTCGGCTCTTTGCTTGTAGAATAAACTGGAATGTTGGGCAAAGTTGATCGTATCCCAGCATGTGTATATATAATAAGTAAAGTACATATTATATAGATGAGCTTGACCAAGCGTTCTTGGTAGACATATGAAGAAGCGTAGGGTGCTCACTAAATTTATTGCTAATTGAGCTATTAATTAATTGCTAATTAAGATGTTAATTTCAGGGGGAGCAGGTATCTGGACACCCTCACGGTGTTCTGTAGTCGATACTTGAAACGGAATTCAATTTATTCTGCTATCTACCACTGCTCCAAACAGATAAACTCTGATGAGGTTTGATTAAACGCAATTAATGGAGTTATTTGGATGGTTTCCCTATTGGAATTATACTAATAGCTTATTAGTATAGATTGTTAAGAGGCAAATATTCGCCAAGAAACTGAAATACTTAAATTGAAAGAGCTTGAGAGCATGTTCTATTTTACAGGGTGTTTCATAAATAGTGTCCTTTTTTGATTTATTGTCAAATTTAGTACAATGAAAAAACCTTTCAAATTTTAAGAATCGTCCCTTTAAATCTAATTTGTTTCTAAAGTTCTTTCTGTCCCCAACAAGTTAACTGCTCAGGGAGAGGTAGATAAGGAGATCGTATCTTCCAGTGATGCGTCAGGGGAGGAATTGTTTAGCTTCGGTTGTCAGAGATATGAGGATCCTTTAACTATCGCAGGTTGTACAATATATATATCGAACTGCTGCACTTAAGATAGGATTATTGGTGGGTTTAAAAGGATCGATTTTTTCCTTTTCACCCTTTTGAAAAAAGGCAATAGTGAAAGGTTACGAATGGACGTTTTTGCAGAAAAACGTGGATTTTGGGGATTGCAGTAGGTGGGTCAAATATATGTCGTGTTGCTTCCGTTCGTTACCATGTCAACTTGCCGCGCACACGCGCGCGAGGATTGCTTGCGGAGATGTGGTGTATAGCTAGTCTGTGGTCAATGAATGCGCGGCGCACGAGCGTATTTTAATGTATACTAGTAATGTATAATATTTTGTAATAAGCCCAACTTGAACGTGGCACGCGTAGTGTATTGATGTTTCAATATTATTATTATAAGGTGAGCTGATTAGAGCTTATATTAATAGTTATAGTGAAATGGAAATCTAGCGTCCGCCAAGACGAAACAACGGGCGCAATTCTTGTTCCTTTTCTGATCCGAATTTTAAAAACAAAATCTTGAGCTGGCCCGTGCTGCGCTGTTATGGTACTGAACTTAAGAAGTCATAAGTTCAGTTTTTATCACGGTTTGTTAACCTTAATTAAGTAATTATTACAGTGCAGACATGCGATGTTAAAGTTGTAGCTAGACTTTTACTCTACGGAGCTGGACTGAACGTTACACCCTGTCCTCTACAGTCCTATCCTGAAGATCAGTCTAAAGAGGTATTTTTCTTACATTCTCCTTATATTCTGCTTACTTTAATTCGCATAATTTTCTTTCGCATTCGATACACAAAAGTTGTATCTATGCTGATAGTCTGTCGTCATTATTTTCATGTCTCATCATGATAAACTTTGCAAGTTTGTGTCTGTATTTAGTGTAACAAGGCAAAATAGGTTTATACATTTCCCTGTTTCCGCACACTGTTCGAGCATAATATGTATCTTTGGGTGTAAGCGAGCCACTTCAAACACGCAATAAATGCTGCTGCGATTGCGCGCCAAACGTATGTAACGCGCGTCCGCCGAATTGTTATCAACTGATGAAATTATGAGAGCGACTATAAGTAACTGGCAGTGTGGCGGTCACACCCTGCCGTATTCGGCCCTGTACGCAGATTTTAGTTTGTCCAAGAAGTGCGCGCAAAGTGCTCGCAAAAGTGATGGCGAAGTGATGGAGGTGATTCAAAAGTGATGGCAAAGTGACCTCAATGCGCACTGATTTTTTCCCGATCCATGACTCAAAGTGCCGAAGGCACAAAAGAGTCAAGGACAAGGGTTAGCTATCGAGGTTTTTTAAAAATATGGTAGCTTTGCGACCGTGTGTGCGACCGTGTGTGCGACCGAACGTGCCTGCGAGCACTGTTATCGCCCACGTGACTACCTGCGCAAAGTTATTTTGCGTGACAATCAGAATTATATAATTGTTGGCGCGCGGCGCTGAACCAACCAAGTACATTATTAATTTCATCATGTACGTATCCCACTAGGCACTAATTAATAGCATATTATTATTATTTTGAGTTAGTATTACTATTTTGCACAGTTCCGTGTCAGGTTGCATAAACAATAAACATATGGTTACATAGAAGTATACATGATACACGATTTTCAAATTCAATATAGAATTATATTAACTGGGCGGCGCTCGGCAGTCGGCATGTCACTTCGCCATATTTGCATGTTTATATAAACAGTAAAGACTGGGCCGTCCCCAGGTTGTATGGAATATGATAAATACGCCATCACGGATCGGGAAATTGAGCGGCCATCCACAAAAGAAAAGCGGCCGCATTTCTTGTTGATGCGGATATGATGGCAAAGTGATTGCGTAAATGATTGCGAAGTGAGTCAAAATGATTACGAGTGATGCGAAATGATTTGAAGTGATAGATAAATGCGAGGTATTGTGATAGTTGAAGTGAATTTCTCAACGGCCAGGTAGCTCAGTTGGTTAGAACGCAGTTCTTAGAACGCCAGCAATCGTGAGGTTGCAAGTTCAATACCGGCTGTCTACCTAGTCGTGGGGTGAGCGTCGTCGGCGTTCTGCTAAGGATCTCATAGGATTTATGCAGCCTCCCGGTCCACCCAGCCGAATGCTCGAGAAATCGTGTGTGAGGGTTAAATGGGGAGCTGTGCAATATAGTACAGCGAAAAAGCAAAACTCAATGGATGGTTACCGTAATGGGTGCCACATGCCTAGCATGAAATATTTACCTACTTACTTACACTTGTGTAGGTCTGTAGAAGCATTAGAATCGGGCGTTGCCTGCCACAGGCTATCCCGAATTTAGAAGCTTGCTTTCATCATTCATCATGAAGTGAATGCAGAAATGATGGCGAATGTGATGGAAAAGTGATGGAAACTCGCTGAACGTCGTTTTGGCGATGTATAAATCCAGATCACAGATGAAACATTTTTGATTTTTTTTGTTGCTCCGATTGTCTTCAAATTTTCGACTTAGCAGTTTTTTGGCCTAAAAAGATGATTGAACCGGGGTAAAATTGTAAAAACTAAAAGGAAAAGCCGCTATAACGTGATTCATGTCCAAAATACTGTTTTAACGGTTAATGATCTCTTCACTTAGGGATGTATGTGAGTTTACTATTGCACCAACCCATACCTGCAGATATTGAAGCAATAATTGTCCACTACAACTCCTCTATTATACCGAGACGTCATGTCATTTTTTTTTATCTAGACACTTATTTTACTTCGGTGTATTCCAACAGCCACAATGTTACACAAGTGCAACCAGCCAATTACAGGAAGCCGAAGGATCTTTTTGGCCAGTGACGGTTAAGGTAGTGTGTACCATACTTTCTTCGTCCGAGACTTTGCTGCAATGTGCAGCTCCTCATTTAACCCTCACACCCGATTTCTCGAGTATTCGGCTGAGTAGACCGGGGGGCTGCATAGACCACTCATGATCCTTAGCTGAACGTCGACGACGCTCACCCCACGACCAGGCAGTCAGTGGGTTTCGAACTCGCAACCTAACGATTGTAAGACAGGCGTTCTAACCAACTGCGCTACCTGGCCGTTAAAATATATATATAGTATATTTATTTTAGAATGCATGTGCAGCACATGTATAATAATAAATAGCTATAGCAGCTATAGCTGTATGGTATACTATAAAATATCGTCGATAGAATGCAAATTGGGATGATTTATATGATAGTAGTGTGGTTACACACCACCTGAACCTCGACCTCTGGAAATGTTTCATTTTGCTCGAGACTTATGATGTTATTCTTCATTTGAGAGAACTTTTTAGTGATCGTAGATATTGGAGTGAACTTTTCAAGTTTGAGTTTTGGGACATATTATCTTACAAAGGATCACGTTTCGGTTCTAAATTATTTCAGGATTGTTGACATTTGTAAGATTTAAATGTTTGATGATAATAATGTGGTGAGAGAAATATCAGTAATTTACTCAGATTAGCGCAGTTAGTTTGCTCCTCCGTAAATAAGTTCCTTATTTTCACAGGTATTCGCTTGGATGTTGCTAATGTTCATTGCTGTTGGTTATGAATTCTCTGACGATGACAGAAGAAAGATAAAAGCTAAATTGTCTGGAGTCGAAAGAGAACTTTTCACGAGATATCTTGAGGCTAACTCGATGTGTTTAGAGGAAATAGGAGACACCATTCCGGTTAGCAGTTCACATAATACAATCTAACTGTCATAGCGAATAGGTGGAATCGCCACAAACATTTCAATTATTTGTCAAATTTGTATCAATTTGTTTCAATCACCGAAATCTTTAGTATTACTTACCAGATAAATCCGTTGAAGATGGTGTTAGATAGGAATGATAAGAAAGATTTTAACGATGTTGTAAAGGTAATGATGATAGGTGAAGTGAAGGCTCATTTCCTTCCTCAGGATTCCATTGACATAAACGTCAGACAGGTATGACGATAAAGACAACAATTTCGTTAAATTTAAGTTAATCATATTATCATAATTTGAATAATTAGAAAACATATTATCATAGCAAGAAAACATATTATCATAGTACGCTTAACATTCGTATCTGTACATCCATCAGGTGTTGCATTGTGTACGCAAGAACTGTCACACTTCAAACATGACAGTATCAGCAGTTCTGGAGATAACTAATTTATTGGACGGTAAAACTCAGAAGAAGGGGTCTAGCAAGCTTAGTCAGAAGATTCGATCTGGAACTCAGGTTTTTATACTATGTACTATAATTTTACTATATATGCATCGTTTTAGACGATAAATCTGTTCTGATTCAAATAATAATCTGGTTCAGTATTATTTCTAAACTGAATCGGTTTTTGCTCGTTTGGACACGGGGCATTCTCACGTATCATAGAGCAGGGAAATTGTGCAATCTTCCTTTAAAATACAGTGTTCCGATAGTTAGAGTGCAATACTTTCAGTCGTTCACAAAACTTCTAAGGATGAAACCGAGTCAAGTAGCAATCCTTATCTTTCTGTTTGGACTCTTCTCTGAATTCGCCATAGGAATCTTCATGTACTATCTAGACGTGATATCAGGTAATTCAGCACCAATCTAAGATATTAAATAATCGAATACATAATCTATTGGATAATCGTATAAATTTGAGACATCTTTCGATCAGATGTATGAGCATGAACTGTGACATTACCTCTCAGACGTGCTGCTAGCAGTGGAGTTGTATGAGAAAGACTCAGATCTGACTAGCTACACTAACCAGGCCACTCAAGTCCTCTGTTTTACTTTCATTCCCCAGGGTCTCATCGGCATTTTTCTAGGTAAGTTCTTGAGTCTCCCGGAACTGCGTATTTTGTATTTGTTTGCCGCGTTGATTTCACTAAGTAGGTCTAATTCATATTCAACGTTTCCAGGGGTTCAATATCTGAAGAAACGCGATATGATGAACGTTATTTTCTCTCTGCTGTGCTTTGTTGGTCTTGGGCCGGTGGTTGTAGCTTTCGAATGTGTCGCAACTAGTATGAAGTAAGAATATCAATTAAGTTTGAGTAACTCCACGAGTAACAATGATGGTTTGCTTTATTTTTAGTTCGAACTCAACAGAATATTACAGATATCTCTACATTTATGTTTGTGTTTTTGGCATTTGGCCAAAACTGTCATTTGAACTCTATTTCAGAAATGAAATATTTTTCTCAGGTGGTATAATGAAGGTCACATCCTTGAATCACACGAAGATAGAGAGAAGAGGGCGAAAAAGAAACAAAAACAGGAAAAGAAACCGAAGCAAAATCCTTCGAACAGGTTCTCTCCCCCAGAAGGGCCACCTGGCGCCCCCTTTGAACCAGAGTGGACCCACCCTCTGGATAAGGAGCAAAAACCCCCGAAATCTGGGCGTGATGATCATCCTAAACCTCTCAAGGTCAGAAAATAAAACTCATATTAGTAATAACCGTACAATTAATATGTAGTTTTACCAACCTCCGACTATTCTCTAACTAAGATCTAAGAGTCTTGCACTTTCCCCTTTTTGAGTTGAACAGAACATCCTTTACCAAGTGTTACCACTTACCCTGTTTCTGAGCACTGATGATTAACAGGATCTGTTAGACGAGCAGATAGAACGCTGGAACGCCATTCGTATCTGGGAGGCTTCACTGGAGAGCGGCCCTGAAATACTTCTCCAACTGTACATCGCCATGTGCACCAACACATACAGTATTCTCTCGTTAGCTCTGTCATTTTTTAGCCTGGTTCAGGCTGCTGCTGAGTACTATTACTGCAAAGCTTCGGGTAATTCATTTATAATTCCAGGTGGATTCCTTGGAATTTTGAATTTGTGTGGACTTTATTTATGTTTAAAATGGTAAAAAACCTTAATGGTATTAGGATTTTTATGAAAATGATATTTTAATTTTAAAACGAATAGTGTGTTAAAATTGATAAGGCATTAAGACTTAATCGCTCATCAAGCGAATACAACGAACGGCAATTCAAGTAATACAGGCTGCAGACAAAAGACAATGATACTGACTAATGACTATTAAAGCACAATTAATCAGTAACATCACGTTTCTCACATACGTAATTATCAGTCGCACTGCTGTAAACTCAATTTTTAATTTTCAATCAAAATTTTGCACCCTCTTTCCAAATATTGGGCATTGGCCAATGATCTGACTTTCATCAGTCACGTAAAACACATTTATTTTACTTAGGTAATTCCACATCATGGCTACTAATCAGTTTGATTGCGTCTAAATGACCACGTGTTCCCTCAGGTGCAATAGGGATCCCCCACCTAATAATCCTCTCCTCCACCACCACCCTCTTCCTCATATCACGTCTCCTCTCTGCCTTCTCCTTCATCTTCAAGTACGGAGTAGTCATCCTCTTCCCTCTAGCTGTGTTCTTTGTTACGATAGTCGTGGACATTGCCGTTAACTGGGAGAAAGTGGAGAATAAGGTCCTCCATGTCACTACTTACCTTTCCAGTCTCTTCATTCTCGTCCGGTAAGTCACTACTTACCTTTCCAGTCTCTTTATTCTCGTCCGGTAAGTCACAACTTACCTTTCCAGTCTCTTTATTCTCGTCCGGTAAATCACTACTTACCTTTCCAGTCTCTTTATTATCGTCCGGTAAATCACTACTTACCTTTCCAGTCTCTTTATTCTCGTCCGGTAAGTCACTATTTACCTTTCCAGTCTCTTTATTCTCGTCCGGTAAGTCACTACTTACCTTCCAGTCTCTTCATTCTCGTCCGGTAAGTCACTACTTACCGGCTAATGGCATTGAAAAGTATTTAACTTTCTTTTTAATTCTTGTTTTATTGTAAGTGTATTTCAGTTGCTGGTAGTGGTGTGGTCTAATAATTTTATTAGCATGCGCTCTGATTAAGTGATCAGAGCTAGGCGCCGCATTATTAATCACGTTAGAAACATTCCAGTTGCTGATGCAATGGTTGCCTGATTTAGATAGTCCTATCGCAAAAATTATCGTTCCACGAAAAAATAATGGCGTCACCATGAAAATTATGAGGTGCAGGAGTTTCATTTTGCAGCTAATTTTTTATTCAAATCGAATTATCGTGTTCTAGAAAACATTTTAATAAGGTTACAATATTATAATTGATAACGAAAGATAAAATTAACAAGACACAATGTTTGCTGATTAAAGCCATGATTTACTACGCACTGTCGAACAACCGTGAGATTTGATTTGTGATAATCTTGTAACATGCTTAAAAGGTTTACAATCATTATGGCAGCGGCGACAGGCTTGTAAATTACAATTTCATCACATCACGTGTATTGATATCATTATCAATATCAGCAAATATAGCGTTTTCGCTAAATCATGACTCGCCAAGGATATTCACAATTTTGTACGACAGGGCTTCAATCGATGTATTTTGGATGCTGATTCTGAATTACCCTTATGACGCTCCTTCAGTAACTTTATTGGTTAATAAAAAAAACTTGATTACGGCCATGGTTAAGGCTATAATTAGCTTCGGAGTTATGGTCAGGGTTAGGGTTTAGAATGATAGGTATAACCGTTCTGTTCAGCTGCAAACCCATAATTAAAAGCTCAATTCACGTGATAGCGTACTGTTGAGTGAATTAGTAAATTAGCGAATTAGTAAAAGCCCAAACATGGTTTTTTGTCAATGCACATTTGCTGCACGCAGCACGGTTAGCACACATCAAAAGGTAAAATTGATCAACCCTAAACGAAAGAGGAACCAAGTTTTTAACTTTATTTTCAATCAGATCAAAATTCGAGCGGAATTCTTCCGGGCAGCAGATTATGTTTTACATGCTGATGATAATAAGCAATGGTCTGTTGGTGATTCATGTTGTTTACCCTCCTACCGTTGGTAAGTTGTAATATGAAAACAGCACTCAGGGGGGCTTTATTGTAAACTGTATCCCTCTTAACTACGTTTAAAAAACTTAAACAATGCTCATTGCTCAGTTCAGATTAGGTCAGGATGGTGTGACGCTGTTTTGAGCAACCATTGGCCATGATATCTTGAAAAACTAAAACCATTATCATATCTACATTTCACCAGGAACCTCACGGGAACAATGTGACTTGTGTCATCAGAGGAACTGCACTTACGAGATCTCAGACCTTACGAACCAGTCAACATTGTCCAGTGTGACTTATAACAAGGATACGCTGGTCTACAAGTTTTACGGTGAGGATCCCCTGGACAGCTGGGAGTTTACGGTTGTCATGCCAGCTATCATCCTTTCTTCTTTCGTTGTTGGTCAGTTTATTTTAGAATCCTTATTTTTTTTTGTTCATCTTAATTTCAGATTGGAGTTCAGATTATACTGGTAATCGGTTAATTTAATCTCGGCGTGAAACATTTCTGGCAAATAATAATGAAATAAATTCCGGTCCGGCGAACTGGATATTTTGCCAGATCTGGTCACGTTCGTTATTGAGCAAATATTCATTAAAATGATATCGCGATAAGATTGGTTTCTGAGGCGGTACAATGTCGGTTGAGAAATAATAACCTCGTATTCCCTGGAAATAAGAGATAAACAACAACTAACATTTTAATAAAGGATTCGTACATTTAAAAAATTTGTAGCAACGTCATTTATCTATTTATGAACGCTCCAAATGATCAAAATGATCAACTATTTTCTATTTTCTTATGTTTTAAACTTAAAAACTTTTCGATTTAGGAATCTGTGGGTTAGTATACTACCAACATTGGCTGCATCCTTGGAGACACATCATAGCAACAGAGCCTCGATTCAAAACTAAGGATCCAGCCGACTACTCCTCCAAATTCCTTGCTGGGACCCTGGTAGCAACGGTTTTTGCAGTTGGGGATCTGATACTCCTGGGTGGTATCTGCCTGAAATCTTATCCAGATGATACCTTGCGGGGCGTGCTGTACTTCGTGTTTCCATACGTTGTTACTGCCGTATCCATGGTGTTCTTTGTTATGATCCTTACCTTTAGTCCCATGAAGATCTCAGACAATCTTAAATTAAAAGCAATAGGACGACCGAATTTCATACTGACCGGTCTGATAAACATCTACAAAATATCTGGGATTCAGGGTTCAATATTAGTTGGAATCTTAAAGTTCTACAGAGATGACCTGAATGACGGTATGTTGGATCTTTACATAGGACTTTACATAGCTTGCGTCCTGCTTGGGGTTCTCACAACCGTTTGGCTCTACATGGACAGTTCACTGAAACGTAAATTACAGGGCAGATTAGGTCATCTTAACACTGTCAGTGATATTTGGAGAGGCGCCAAGAACAACGTCCTGTCGGTTGATCAGAGAGGTTTAAGTCTGAGCCGCAATCGTCCTCGCCCCCCAGTATTTGATGAGACCCCACCCAACACCCCACCAGCACTACCAGATAGAAAATCTAGTTTGGATGCTGGTATCAGAAAACCTGAACCGATCAAGACGCGGCAGAGCGAGACACCACTACCTCCTCCTGGACATACACAGCAGAATAATGATAATAATAAGCAACCCCCTCAGATTCGACCACCACCTCCTCCCGCAAGCCATCCATCAGGAGCTAAAAAGGGTCCTCAACTTAAAAATGGTAACCCATATAATTCCAGAAAAGGACCAAAAGGTCCACCAACAAAGGGACCTGCTCCCCCAAAAGGGCGTCCTATTAAGCTGAAGGATCACCCTCCATCTGAACCAGCCCAGCTACCACCTATGGTGGGTCCAGGAGGACACCGTGGTATGCCACCAAGGAGGCAGCGTCCACCACCGCGTAGGTAATTCTTATTCGAGTGAATTGTGATCATAAATAGAACATCAGACTTCAGGTTGCAATCATCCGACTAAAGAATGTTGAAAGCGGTCAAAGATGCATAGCAGGGTGAAAGTGCCCACTGTATGACTAGATTCTAGCATTCTGGTAACATGAATGAACTTGTCGCCAGTTTCTGAACACTTGTTGAGGGGGTAGCAAATTGAACTTGTCTGAATTTTGTCAAGACTTGCAACCAGTAAAATTTAGCACGTGTTCCTTCTATACTATATTTAACATTATCAGCACATAGTTTTATTGGTGAAGGCACTAGTAGTCTTGTAGAAAGAGCACATATTTTATTTTACAATGTGTGAGTTTGTATCACTTGTTTAGATTAAAACAAAAACGCGAAACCCACTGTTTTTCATTTTGTTCTGATTGAACAAAAATTATAAGAAGTATAGAGAGAGGCCATTTATTCCTCAACTTTTGGAAAAATGGGATCGATGGGGCTGCCCCACCCTTGTTTACTCCGTAATTATGTTAGTGTTAGGGAAATCGAGATAATTTAATTTCGTAGAGATTATAAATAACCCGGTTTTGAGAAATTAACTTGAATTCAGAAAGTATCAATCATAACATAATTATCATCGTCATTTAGAAATAAGAAACAGTGTAAAACATGTCTGAGAGCCATTTATTCTTCAACTTTAGGACAAATGGGCATGGGCATCGATGGGGTTGCGTCTATCGAATTCGAAAAGACATGCGTCACTGACTACACAAGCATTTTAGCAGGAGTTTACCGACATTTCAGATATAATTTATCAATGCAATCATCTCAGAAACCTGTCTCAGAATCAAATACAGAGGCCAAAACACATAGTTCTCATAATCGAAAATTATCGAAATTCTGTTGCCTCACTTAAAGTGTCCGTATGATAGAGAGGGAGGGAAGCCCCGGTTGAGACTGGTCACGTGACTGGTAACGTGGTGGGTGTGGTGGGGGTTCTCGTAGCTGTGTAGAGTTGTCCTACAGATGGAGTAGTCTTTTAGATTTTAAAATTATAAAAACTAGTGTACAAAACAAAGAAAGCAAATGTACAATTGTGCAGAAAACAGTTCTTACTTCTTAGGCAAGTGCCAGGACCTTATGAAAACAGGTTTAAAAATATTTGAAATATTAAAAATAAAAATCCCATAAAGGAAACCCTTAGAAGTGTTATTATCTACCTGCTGGCACGGTTTGGAGGGGGTAGAACTTGTCTACCGGGTCTTCCTGTGATCTGTCTGTGTTCCATTCCTGAGACACGTGGTTTGTTAACTATCGTAGATTGAAATTTATTTCCGCAAAGAAACAAGACGTACAAACAGGTGAATCATCAATTAAGGGGAGGGGGGTTCGCCCTGTTTATTTTGTGAAAATTGGTTTCGAGATAGCAGTTGAACTAGGACCGGTGACCGAACCTTTGAGGGGGTCCCGGACCCCAACCACCAAACGGTGCTCGCGGGGCAGCCACACCCATATTTTGTCCAAATTAGGCCCAATTTTGCCAAATACCCTGAACATGCCTAAAACCCAGATTTTAGGTGCTATCCTTGTAGCTAGTGGTCCCCTGGACTCGTATATGAATTTTCATTACGATTGGACAAAAATGACTGAGTTATGAGCTAACAACTATATGCCCATATTTGGGTATACACACTAAATTTGGTCGATTTTGGCCCATAAATTGGTAAAATATCAATATTTTTGAATGAAACCAACTTTATATGAAAGGTAAGCTTAAACTACACATTCCCTATGATTATCAGCTCAGTATCTACCTAACTGTGGATTCTGTGTTCAAATAATCTCAAAAAATGAACAAAATCGCCTATATCTCAGTTCGCGATATTTGCAAAACTGACTTCGCTCAAAACAATAGAACTCAATAGGGTTTCAACAATTTTTCATGAAATTTTCAGAATCAACGTAGAATCGCCTCATGACCTTAAGTTTTGTATTGGAATTTTGAGTTAGGCCTTTTAAAAAATTTGGCGGCCAAATTCTGAAAAATGCCCGGCAAATTTCAGAATTTGGCTGCCAAATTTTTTTAAAGGCCTAACTCAAAATGCCAATACAAAACTGACCAATTTATTGGCCAAATTCGACCAAATTTAGTGTGTATACCCAAATATAGTCATATAGTTTTTTAGCTCATAACTCAGTCATTTTTTGTCCAATCGTACCTAATGAAAATTCATATACAAGTCCAGGGGACTCGTATACGGGTTTTGGGCATGTTCAGGGTATTTGGCAAAATTGGGCCTAATTTGAACCAAATATGGGCGTGGCTGCCCCGTGGGCACCGTTTAACAGGACATATAATGATATTTTAGATATAATACGCTATAAATTATGCGGATAAATTATGCGGATAAATTATGCGGATCAATAATTTAATTCTATTCGATGGATATTTAAAAATAGGCACATGCAAGTATTCAAGTATGAAAGTATGCAAGTATGCAGTGAATCCACCTACCCATCTGCACACATCTGCACTCCCATCTGTCTCCCTGAAGTTCTTTAGAGAGTGAACAGATATAGCAGATAGCTGTTTTCAGGGTCTGCAACCTTGTTGGTTTCTTGGAGCTGCCTCCTGAATCGAGACAATGTTAAATTATTGACTTCTGACCGGTCGTGCCCCAATATTTTGTTGCTAAAAATTATCTAATGTGGTTCAATAAATTGGCTCATCAAAATAAATGTCGGTTAAATTTCAAGATAATGTGAATATTTTAGGGAAAAAAGAATATAACCACAATTTCACCTCACCTTTCATGAATTCTGGATGTTTTCCATCCTGTATCCTCTCCCTAAGCATATCCACATTCTTCCTGATATCAGCGACCCTTTTTCTTTCCCGCTCTCCTTTCTCTATCTTCCTACTCCCCCTGTAAACCGTCCTCTCTGAAGAGACACGTACTTTATAATGAAGGCGGTAAATTTATTAGCCCTATTGCCCCGCCCTATTCGATACAGACGAAAATAATTGATCGCCAAGGATTTATACTTTATACAATATAGGGCGTTGTGCTGGCTGATGTCAGCTGTGCATAACGTTTATTCAAGTATGACGGTACTGTGGGGCAAAGTCAGATCACAAATCACAACTCACTGCAATTAAATTAATCAGATATCAGATGAAATTCTGACAAAAATAAAATGCATGGAAATTCAGATCGGCAATTGGCCTGAAGTTTTGTTTTGTTCACACTTCACACCCGCCGTTGCGGTGAGCCTTTGATTCAATTATAAACCTGAGACTGGAAGAAGAACTTGAACAGTGAACTAATAGTGAACTGCGAAAGTCGGCTAAATTTCCAAGTATTAGTAATGAGGGCCGGGGTGCGTGATATATATAATTCCATATTCGTCAAGATTTTCGATTCCATTTCCAAGAAAAACTGTTAAAACTCTGACATCATAAGATTTTATTTGCGATGCATATTCGTATATATCAGATGAATTAATAACCTAGTCACTAGTTCCACATGAATCAATTTCGATACGTTGCTTCTTACCTGAGTTAGATATGGTGGGACTCTGTATCGGGATTGTCCTAGGAGAGTTCTTGGAGTTGTGACAGGATGCAGCTTCGTAGCTCATCACCTTCTCTCTCTGTTGGTTGTGGTCGTAAGGACTTGTGCACGAAGAGGTGCCGGAAATTGGGGACCGCTCAACAAACATTTCAATCGGAATGACTTAAAAGTTACGTTCTGCTAAAGATCAAAAATTAAAATCCGTCTAATAATAATATTCAGATGCTTTGTTTTATAGCGGTTTCACGCTCCTTTTCACCTCTTAACGCCCATTTGTCAATTCTTATCTACAGGGATCGGACGTTGAGATAATGAGTTATCTTAAATTAAATCCTAATACAATTATCTAATTGGGTACGTGTGCACTGTGCACTGTGCCTGCACCTCTGAGTCTAGCACGTGGTCTATGGAAGAGGGTCTACATTTAGCGGCGATTGTAATCGTGTAAATTCATGACTGGACTGGTCCTCTTTTCTCCTTGGTCTTCATGATATATGCCGAATTTAAACAACATGGCTTAGTTTGGAACTGGCATGTCATGAAATGCTGCCTAGGATTTTAGACGCCCTAGGTCGGAGCAACGATATAGCAATTAACCTATAATTCTTGGTGTGTTTATGAAAATACTGTTGATTTGTTCGAGGAAAGTATGTACTATACAAGTATCAACGCCCCTTTTCTGGCCCTAATTGTCAAATGTTTTTAAAAAAATTATTTTTCGGAAAGAAAACCAATCATTGAATAATTTATGACAATAATTTATGACATAATAGTATTGCGGACTTCACAGCAAATAATAAAAACGTCATAAAATTCATTAATTTGAAGGACATAAAATATACAACATTTTGGGCGGTCTTACGTTTTCTATTAACTGACAGGGAGGTGAAAAGTGGACCCCCACAACCCGACCCCACCCCCGCCCCCACCCCCGACCCCAAGTTCCCCAATCCCCGCTTCCGAGCTCGCATAGCAATCAAGGGAAGCCTCGATACCAAGATAAGATCGTAAATCGAGCTGTAAATAAATGTTGATCAAAATAGGTATTTTTGATGACGACAAAATTTCCAAACCGCCTCCCCTTCGGCTGCTGAACCCTCCCAATGAAGATGAGATTTTTTAAATTACAAATACAATCTAGAGGTAAAATCTGTGTTATTTCTTAATTAGAGCGAGAATCAGTTTCACATATAACTAGTGTAATAACAAAATTACACTAGCAAAATCACTAACCCCCCCCCCCCCCCCCCCCCCCCCCCCTTAGTGATTACGTAATATGTGAACGAGCCCTTAAATCGTAGTCATAGAATCCAAAAAATTACAAGGACATTAGCAGACATCCGCCTCCAAACAGTTGTGCCCCGCCTCCATCAGTATAACTATAAATGTATTTCATGATATTGCCTAATATGGTCATGTCACGTGTCAAAACAAGTGTAGTCCTCCTTTGAGACACAAACTGATCTCACCCGCTAATTCAAAGTCTCTAGACTATAGTACTATAGTAGTTGTAGAACTACTACAGGAGTAATCCCGATAACACTCGACCTCTGCTTGATCCAGAGGATGTCGCCATTTTACCTTCACACAGACATCGAACGCTGTAAGAAGATGACGATCAGACCTCGTTATCTCTAGACTATAGGTGGTAAGTTTCAATTGGTTGTGTCCATCAAAAATTAACGGAAAGAGATATTTTGATTCTTTTCATAAATTCACCATTCATAAAGTTGAGTTGTTCTTTAAATTCACATCATTAATCCTGGACTCTGCAGTTAGCACTGCAGCTATTTTTATTCAAACTTTAACTTTTCGACCAGTTTTCACTTTTCAACGACCGGTTTCCAGCTTATGTTAAAATTTGTAAAATTTATTCACTTCTCTTCTCGCTGGACTCCTCTGCTCACGAGATAGCGCCCTTAAGCTAGCCTTTGTGTCTACGGATGCATGGGAACCCTTTTGCCGATATTCGCCATTGTCGGTTTCTTTTAATCTTAAGGGCTCTATTTTTGGAATAACTAGTATTTCTACCAACTGGTTGGTACTGAGTTGTACTTGAAATACAGGGGGCTTGTCCCTGAAATTGAAAGTCGCGATAAAATTAGAGATTGTTAGGGCCTATCAATTTTTGGAGCCAGATTCACTCATGCACATAGAAAACTTCAAATTTTTATCGCAGACTCATCAAAATAAGTATGAAAGTAATTACAAAAACATTTATTTTTGATAAATCAGGGTACAACTTTTCGTGGAAACATTTGTTCATTTTAGGAATTCATCCCCTAAGGAATTGTTCTCATATGTGAGAATGAAGATGGTATCGAACAGTGCCAATTATTTTTAAAAATGAAACCAATCTGTATCCTGGAAAAACTGTCGGTATACCGGTGTTATAAAGGTGCCTGGTAGTACTAGTGGGTCTTGGTATGAAGATGACCCATGTTTGTTCTGACACGTGACTGTGATTTAATTTTACAGATTTACCGATTAAAACCAAGAATTAGTGTCACGTGTCATGGGAATATGGTTCACCATAATATTTATTCACACACAGCAGGTCTTCCTCTGGGCTCTGACTGCCGAGTCAAGAATGTCAATGATTGTTAAGATTTATCTTGAATACAATTTAAAGTCATAACTCAAACTGTAAGACCTTATTTCTTCCAATCACTGTTTTAATTGAATTTATTTTGATTTTGAATTGATGTGAATCGGATCGCTTTCAAAATTCTAATAGTCTTGATAACTGATAATACTGAGGGGATGGAGGGGGGTTGGGTCAAGAGTTATAGTAATCGGTGCAGTGAAAGTCCTTTGCAAGGCTCTACATTTCTACACCTCAATTTATTAGGGAGAGTTGCCTTAACCCTTGTAAACGATTGTGCAGCTGTGTCAAATTACTTCAAAATATATGAGGCTGAATACACATCCAATTCTAAACCGATCATTGAACCCGTGGATATAGTTTTCATTGGAAAATACTAAAAACCCCAGAACGAGCAACGAACCTGAATTTCCGCGTCTCGTTCCAACTCAATCTGTTGGTGCACCACCTCTAACGAGAAATGCATGATAATGATAAACAAAAGCTGTAGTGATACTGTTCGAGTGATGATGAGGGGCGAGGGTAGTGGGGCTCTGTGGTGATCTGGACAGCTGCGAACACATGCTATACTAGAGTAGAGCAAACCAATTATTTTTCTGAAATACAACTTATAACTCTATTGCAGCCCCTTAATTAATATTACCTGCCTTACAATTTGATGAAATTCTAGTCGCAAATCCATCTAAATGATCACGTTTACTGGCTAAATACAATGCCAGACTAGCTTGAGCTGGCTCACGTGACGTCACGTGGTGTGTGACGTCACATCACGTGACGCAATTGCGGCGCGCGCACGCTCATAAGTAATGTTCACGTGGGCTGTACCCCCAGATGCACGTGCTGGTAATCTGTTTTTAATGAGTAAATCAAAGTAGTCGTGTGCCACGGGTTGTACAGAGATTTTAATTACAGTCTTAATTACGATGGGGAACGTGCCTGAAATTTGTTTCTCGTCCCGTAACTACTATAGTACCATATACTAAGTATTGGTGTTAATCAGAAAATTTTACGCCAAATGATCACCATACAGTAAACCATAAATTCGTAGTGTTTAGAACCATCAAATTATTATGTACTAACAATTGTCATTGGTCAGGACGTTCACTTAAAGCCATGATCAGGTCAAAGAGACTGCTCGCGGAGCGGTCGTCATTATAGCTCACCTCAAAGAGACTGTCCCGCATAATATTTCGAATGATTACCCACCATGCTGCACGGACTTGTACTCCAGCTCAAATTCAATGTGAGCCATTGTGATGGCAATATTTTCACGGTACCCAGGCGGATACAATGTGGTATTGTGAGGCTGTGTCACGTCACGTGATTTACGGTAAGGACCTTCTGGTGCACGAACCATCTATATTCTATAATAGATCTATGTTACCGTTCTACTCATACTGATACTGCAGTCGCTAGGATTAGCAAACTGAACATGTTACGGCTTTAGTTTACTGGGTACGCTGTGTGCTTATAAGTGTGGTACACTGGAGGTGAAACTGCCTAATTGAAGATATAGCCATTTGGGTGCAGCTGAAGTTAAAAATCTAGGGGCAAGAAATAAGGAGTTGCTTTATTTCAATTATTATTAAATTTAACAAAACAAAAATTAAAAACAAAAAATTCTAATAAAATTACGATTTTTAGAATGATAAAATATTAAAAGCTGAGTACTAGCTCATTTTTTCATTTTTTAACGAAAGATAAAGGAATTGGTAAAAATTAATCTCTTCGGGTTAAAAAAAACTCAAAAACATCACTAGAACAGAAAAAAATCCCTACTGTTGTATATTGTCAAGCAGTGCCATGAGACCAGCTACATTCTCCTCTGCTGTCTCCAATATCTGGTCCTCAGGAAGCTCGAAAGCGAACTCCCCCAGGTCCCTCAGCTCTATCGTATAGGAGTCAGTAACGTTGAGATCCTGGTAAGCCCAATCAGCACTTACCCCACTAGCAGGGTACATATCAGCGAAGGACTGAGCAGTGTAGGTCCTACCGTGTTTGTCTTTGATGGCCGCTACAACTGCTGCTCCAACAGTGAGGTGGTGGTCTCTGTCAGGTGGAGGATCCACAGTGTAGGCTAGGGGCAGGAGGAACAGTTGGGAGTAACTGTGGTAGCTAATGTATCCTTTCAGCTTGCTTTGTTGTTCTTCCAGATAGGTTTTAACCATCATGACGTTGTCTTGGTCGAAGGGAACTTTGCCAGGGTAAAATATGCTGCAAGGATCTGTGCTGACGGATTCCTTGCCCCAGTCGGTGCTCCAGTTCCGGTTGGAGTCTGCTCCGAAGCAGGCCCTATAAAAACAGCCCCCAAACCAGTTGTACTTGTTTTCCTTGCACCCTGTTGGTTTACGGGTCTTTCTCCACAATCTATCTTCTCGTGAGTGTACTCGTAACCGTCAGGGTTGATACTGGGAGCTATCACGAACTGGTACTTCTCCAGGAGTAGTGCCATGTCAGCTGACCTGTCCTGTTCCTGTTCCCGAGCAGAGAGTCGATGATGTACATGACGGTGGCTGGAGACACCCACTCTCTGGCGTGGATACCTCCATCAATCCAGATCATGGGCCGGACTTTTGAAGTGGGGGCGGTGATATTAGCAGTGATTCTTATCACTTGAATCTTTCTTCCTTCATAAGTTGTACCAGTGAGGTTGAAGGTCTCTGCTTTGTCGTTGTGTGACGCTGCTAAAGCGTCAAGGTGATCATACAAGACGTTTAGTCGATGGTAAGTGATGTATGAGATGCTTCCCTTAACGACATTTGCTGCTGATAAGAGTACACCCCTTTCTTTTCTTACCTCCGATCCAACATTATCATTGATAATCTGGAAGGGCAAACCCTGAGATTCAAACACACGCTGACATCTATCCAACTTTTCAGGTGATATCAATACATCCAAGATTCTGGACCGACTCTCTGAAATGACCTCCAGACCATCTTCTGCTTCAAGGTTGTGAATAGATTTATACTCTGTATCAGACGCTGTGGTTACTCTGAGAATCTTGTATTCATCGTACGACTTGTAGGCGTGGGAAGTTAAACCGAAACTCAAGATCAAGCAATATTTATATAGAGCAGCAACGTGTGACATACCGACATTGGCTTTTCTGGGATTGAGGCTTTGATTTACCAGTCATGTTTTCACACTTATGCTCTAACCTTATTTTATATGCCACATTAAAACATTCGAAAGTGTTTCTGTTGTTACAGTGACAAATCAAGACACGAGATTTAATTAACAAGTCTATGCCTAAAGTGCCACTTAATCACCTGTTACCTGGGGACCCCAGGCTATTATGCTCACAAACATAATAGAATAGAGGTTCGGATAGAGATTCGGCGGAATGACAGGTTGAGCGCCGTCCAGTTAAATGACCTGTTACTTAATGGCCGTGGAACAAAATGTTGTAATTGGCAAAAAAAGTCTCATGAGGAACAAAATGTTGTATACATAAATTTGACCAAAACCCATAATTATGGGTAGAGTGGACCGCGGCCAGTGTCTCTCTTTTCCAAACAAAAGGAAATGATTTTAATTTTAATAACCGTCCGCAAATGCAAATTGATATCGAGAATGAAATCGGTCGCTCGCTTTTCCCATTCATTCACGGCTTACGAATTGTAATAAAGCTTATTGAATGGGAAAAGCGAGCGACCGATTTCATTCTCGATATCAATTTGCACTTGGCAAGTGCAAATTGATATCGAGAAATTGATATCCGCAAGTGACTTGCGGACGCAGGACGGTTATTCGAATTAATATCATTTCCTTTTGTTTGGAAAAGAGAGACACTGGCAGCGGTCCACTCTACCCATGATTATGGGTTTTGGTTAAATATCATCTCTTTTTGATTATAATGTCAGAATTATTTACTAAGTCGAAATGTAAACTCATAACTTCATTAATATTAATATTAATGAGCTGAGGTAATTTCAACAATTTCGAAATTTTACCTTTGAAAACATTTCCTTGTGTTTAGGTAAGCATATCTGTCGATAACTGACTGAATATGGCACTTTTTACGCATTCAAGTTGGCATTACATTAATATACTGCTATTTAAAATATCGTGGGAAAGCAGAATTTATTCGAAATCACAAATAAAATGCTTTCGAGAAGAAAGCGGCGCGCGCTACTTCGAAGAAATTTAGACGAGTAACATCCGTCAAGTAAATTGTGACGTTATACTTTAAATCTCAAACTTACAAATTTCGACAAATAGACTAGACTGTAGAGGAAATAAAGTAATTTCAAGTATATTAAGAAAAGTTAGTTTACTCCATTGCATATAAACGTCTTCGGGTTTGACCTAAATAAAAATGTAATTGTAACCCCTTGCGATCTTGGTCAGTACCCACGCTAGTCACTATGACTAACCAGTAACCACGCACGCGTGTTGCGGGAAGCACATTTTTTGGCAATATTCCACCATACAAAGCCAACTTTCGTGAACATTTTGATATGGGCACGTGATTACCTGTTTCCGTATTTTTTTTAAATGCGGCAATTTTCAGAAAAAAATTCGTACGCGAATTTAATTCGAATAATACGTTTAGTGCGAATTCAACAGCATTGGCGGAAAGTCGCGTTAAATTAAAGTTCATTCCGTGGTGTCACTGTCAGTAAAATGGTACGGATATAAAACACATCCATATATCCATTTATATCTTCTCACTTTATATATAAGTATATAGTATTAGTACTAGTAGGATGTAGGACTAGGATGACGCAGTGAAACTATCGGACTACGAGTACGATGTATGGGGACTTGTCACCCCGGCCCATGGCAACATTAAAATATATATATTATACAGAGTCAATATATTGACTCTGTTACATTGTTTCCTGTTAATATAAAACTCCGTTACAAATTGAACTGGGATCTGGCAATACTACTCCTTAGATCAATAAAATATGATAAAGTAATGTATAACTAGACTTAAGTAAAAGTCTGATACTGATTGATTAAAGCTTAATAATGAACTGTGAAAGAGTGGTTAATAGATTAAAAAGAATTGTAATAGATTAAGAAGAACTAGTATCAGTAGTCAATGACTACACAGGGTTATTGAAAATTACAAAGAATAAAATGGCGTCTGGACTTGGGACCAGCTCATAGTACATAGTATAGTATATACTTATATAGTATTTAGAGGTAAATAGTATAGTGAGTATAATGGCGGCGGTCGTGCTTGCCAGCACTGTGATATCGCGTGATCGAGACAGTTTTTCGCCAATATTTTGCCAGGGGAGCATTTTTATAACCCTATGTCATGAGGGTGATTCAGAATCAGCGTCCGAAGATACATCGATTCAAGTTGGGTTCAACTGTCGGGGGGGGGGGGGGGGGGGGGGGGGGAGGTAGCACGCTCGAGTTATAATCTATATTGAACAACCATTACATAATAATAATATAACTTATAGTGCTCTGATACGCACATGGGACACAATTCAGGAATAATAACTCCCACGTGACACAGGGATGACACCCACGTGTTGCATTTCGTCCCGCTCACAGCAACGCAATACTAGAACGTGTCACAAATATATTTCCACGTTCCGCATTACCTATATATTCTCGTTCCTACAATGCGCACGACTAATTGTGGGTCATATATCAGTGACCTCATACTCTCTTTGTCACTCCGTTTTTTGTCTGTTTGTTGTTGTGTCTTTAGTTACATGAAAACAACTATAGCCGTACCATGTTTACATTGTAAATTCAGCGATTTAATGAATCGAGCACATGGTCCGTGTTTGTGCGAGATCTTATCAGTACCGAGTATTAACTGCAGTATATGTTAGCAGTTCTGAGATCCGGGCTCGATCAGTTAATTATCTGCGCCGGCTAGGTATTTTATAGATACACGTTGTATCGGGAATTGCACTAAAGCAGGTTTTTTAGGAAACAATGGCAGAAATAATGGAATAAATGGTCCATCGGAGGGGGTTCTGCAAATATGTTCTTTTTTTTAACGATTCCCGCAAGCAAACATTATTTAATGTTATTAGTTTAAATATAGATTTTTACATATAACTGATCCTTAAACTAGGATTATCAAATCTTATACATATCGTCTCGCTTTATAATTATATGACGATTCGAGCTAGTTTAAATATTATGGTGCATATCCTAGTACTATGATGAGTCTAGATGACTTTATTTGAACGGACGCAAGGACCTCTATCGTTCGATTAATGTCCGTTCAAATAAGGTCCGATAAGGTAGTTACTATCGGCAATGTGCCGTGAAAGGAAACAGTGCCTCCCCCGCCAAATCTAAAAAAGGCAAGGCCAAGTCTATTTTTGCCGCCCCTTCTATACAGCTTTTTGCCGTCCTCACTGGAGCAGTTTTACCCCTAAATTTTTTTCCGTGTCGACCGAATGTTACTTACTTGGGTTACGTGGGGTTGCTTCATAGATCCTCTATCGGGTCATCAGAACGGCTGACCACCCGTGCAGCGAAGTTGCTGTCTTTTCTGCGCTCCAGTTCAATAACGAATTCCCGTTCTGGCAACAATATCCAGTAACAGGAGGTTCGTCCGGAATAGATGTAACAAACTCCGTCAACAATGACTTGAAGCGTAGGGGGTCCTCGATAAGGTGCAGGTTTGCGGGAATGATATTCCACAATCGAGGCCCCATCACTACAAATGAGCTGTCAAAGATCGATTGATTCCTTTGGCTACTGGACGTTGACAAGCTAGGGACTACTGCTTTCTGGCCATAACGGAGTGTATCTGTAAACTGAACGTTGACATCATTAGGACACTTCTTGTGTAGGATCTTCCACATATGAATGATAGTGTAACGTTCTCTCCTCCGTTGAAGTGACATCAATTTTAAGGCCTTCAGTCTCTGCCAATAGTTCAGATGTTGCACACCATGTATTTTGGACGTAAATGTACGTTGTACTCCCTCTAGCTCAGCGATATCAGCTTGCTTAGTTGAATTCCAGAGGGGACAACAGTACTCGAGATGGCTTCTGACTAATGACTTGTAGAGGGTCAGCATAGTGATCTTGTTTCTCGATCTAAAAGCGCTCAGAACCCAAGAGGCAACTTTACGGGCACGATCTGCTATCATAGTAACATGGGAGCTCCAAGACAAGTCCGCCGAGATCAAAACCCCCAGGTCTTTGACTGAATCCGTAGGGTACATTATGTTACCATGCGAAACTTGATAAGTTTGCGTCAGGATGGCAAACGGGAGGTCTTGCAAGCTGTTTCGGGGACAGTGTTTGTGCACACGTATCTCAAATTTATCCTCATGCAATGACATGTTATTGCATCTTGCCCAGTCGATGACAGATTTGAGATCATTTTGCAGTATACTTGCATCTTCAAGTGTATAGATGTGCCTCAAAATCCGTGTATCGTCAGCAAAGAATCTAATGACACATCCTGTGATGCACAGCTTCATGTCATTAATGAACAAAATGAATAGCAGCGGGCCCAAAACTGTACCCTGTGGCACTCCGCTTATGATTGCTGCAGCAAGTGATGACATCCCGTCCAACACAACACACTGTGTGCGGTCACTTAAGAAGGATTCGATCCACGACACCACCTTTTCGTGAATTCCCATTCTTCTAAGCTTCTTAATAAGCAGTCGGTGATCCACTTTATCAAATGCTTTCGCAAAGTCAAGGTATATGGCGTCAGTATCAGCGTTTTTCACCAATCCTTGAACAATGTCATCAACGTGACTGAGCAGTTGGGTGAGACAGCTCCGCCCAGATCGAAAGCCATGTTGATTATCACAGAGTAATCCGTTCTTCTCTATGAAGCTAACCATCTTGCCACGCAGTAGGTATGCGTTCGCACACTTTTATAACGTGAGATGTGAGCGCCACCGGCCGGTAGTTGACAGCTTTCGCCCGATCACCCTTTTTGTATAGAGGAGTGATGTAGGTATCTTTGTAGAACTTAGGTACTTCACCACGCTCAAAGGATTCGCTCCAGATGAGCCGTATCGGCTCGCACATCTCTTTTGCACAGCTCTTTAAGAGGATAGCAGGTATTCCATCAGGTCCGCTAGCAGAGTTAGGAGGAATATTCCCAATTGCAGATATGATATCGTCATCCATGATGCAAAAATCTTCAAGAGTTTGCGGATGTTCGATCATAGG